CAGTTACATCCCTAGCTACAGAACACCATAAGTGGAATTGTAAGCTTCAAGGAAGACCCGTGCACTGCTTGAAACCAGTACGAAACGCAACTTTCGATGTCAAAAGCCAATGCTATACGTATAATTTGTGAGCCAACCAAGACAAGGCGTTTGAATCGCGCGATTTGTTAGTATAGGTACGTGATCCTACCGTTTGTAATCGTACCTTGTCGAAATTGACACCTGGAACCTCATCAATACTTATACCCATTGTAGTTATTTAGTAAACGTAATATATCTACTTTATCGTGGATGATCTAAACTAAACTTCAGAAAAAAATAAATTAAACAAATATAGCAAACGAGCTCCTGGGTATGGCTATTGTAGTATGGTGAAAGAAAACTTTATTTCTACTTGTTACATTAATCAACTGCACTTTTACAATACATAGCATTCCGCTGTCGAGCGCGGACTGCCGCTGTCAAAAACCCTTCGCTTCTTCCCTGTCACTCCGCAGTGGCGTACATACCACAGCTATAGCATGTGCAAAACCAAATTTTAAACCTGATGTTAGTTTTGCTTTTATTTAAAGTGTATATGTATGAAATTTCATTTGAAGTCCTCCATAAATAAGCTGCGCATGCGCAAAACCAAATTTGGAAACTGATGTTAAATTTTCTTTTATTCCAAGTGGTTATGTACCAAATTTCATTTAAATCCCCCTATAAATCAGAAAGTTGGCACTGCGCATGCGCAAAACGAAATTTTGAAACTGGCGTAAAATTTGGTTTTATTCGAAGTGCCTATGTATCAAATTTTATTTAATTGCCTCCATAAATAAGGAAGTTGGCACTGCGCATGCGCAAAACCAAATTTTGAAACTGGTGTTAAATTTACTTTTATTCCAACCAAGGGCTATGTATCAAATTTTATTTAAATCCCTCCATAAATAAGAAAGTTGGCACTGCGCATGCGCAAAACCAAATTTTGAAACTGGCGTTAAATTTGCTTTTATTCCAAGTGGCTATGTATCAAATTTCATTTAAATACCTTCATAAATAAGAAAGTTTGCAATTCGGTCTGTAAATGGTCGAGATGCGCAAAGGGCACTGTGAATGCTGATCGATTAGGTTCAACTTTTGGAATTGCGTCTTATATGGCTAAAGCTATGCCCATATTGAATTTCATGCAATTAGGTTTATAACTAACGGAGGGCCTACTTTATTTTTTGGTCTACATTGCCAATTCACGAACTACGATCTACAAATTTGATAAAGAATCCACCTGCAAAATTTCATCGTAATCCATTCGTTTATGAGTTATCGTGCTAACGGACGGACGGACAGACACAACAAAATTATAAACTCGCTAGGAGCTCGTTAATAAGAATCCGAACAATGGGAAGAGAACCCGAATCCAAAGAATTCCAACAAACTGAAAATGGTAAAAATCGGAAGAAGCTGAAAAATCCAAAGACTCCGAAGAATTCAAAGAATCTCATGGACCCGGGGAATTTAAACAACAGAATTCGAATAAATGGTAGAAAGGACAAAAACTTGAAGGAATAAGAACTGAAACAATTTGAATAACTTTGAATAAATTAAACAAACAGTGCTATTTATTAAAAAGTAGACATAGACATACTGGGTGGTGCCTAGCGCGACGCAGCATAGGGATTTCAATGGTAATTTCTTTATATTCAATTACTAGCTCCCCAAATTATTTTAGAGCAAAAGTCTAAATACAAAACCGTAGAAATCGACATAATAAAAAAATTACATTTTTATAAATCAGTGATGCATTACCATGCTGCGTTGCGCTAGGCACCACCCTGTATACGTGTATTGTTTTTCCCTATGTCTACTTTTAAATGACAAAATCTCTTCTGAAGGGCGTCTGATTTTATGCAACTAAAATAACTTCTTAAAACAAATAAAGATCTGACCGTCATAATATTAATTAATTTGAGTGTTGTTGCTTTGGCTCACAGAAAATAAATTCCTTACGCTTCTTAAACTGATACCGCCACTAGACCAATTGATAATATCAACGTTTTCTTCAGTTCAAACGCCAATATTCAAATTAATTACTTAATATCACTGCCAGATCTTTGTGTTTTAAGAAGTTATTTTAGTTGCATAAAAGTAGGCGCGCTTCAGAAGAGATTTAAAAGTAGACATAGGGAAAATCAATACACATAAATCCCTATGTCTACTTCTTAATAAATAGCACTGTATATTTAGTTTTTGGAAAACTGCGATCAACTATATTTATATAAAAATAAATGTGTCGCCGAAATGTATATATGCGCATAACGTCAGAACGACTGCACCAAATGCGATCATTCCTTTTTGTTGTGTTTGTTATTGTCAGGGCAAGGTTTGTATTTCAAAAATTGTACCTCTCTTTACCGTAATTTTAAATCGCAATAGAACTATGGATGGTGCCAAATCGTGATCTACTACGATTCTAGAAGAATCCATACCGTCGACTTCCGGCGAGAGGCCAAAAAAATTAGACGGTCAAATGTATCACTTAGGTACCTATGCCCGCGAATTCTGATGTAGTAAAACACTTTCCGATTTTCCCACGGAAACGGGAACAAGATAGCCTATACATGCAAAGTGTAAACTACACTAGACCCACCCCTGTAACTCTTGTAGAATTGGCAATATCGATATAAAATAAAACTAATTGACACGCTGTGTATATTTTTATACTTTTACATTCCACAGACAATTTTACACCCATTCTTTTCGATACGTATGCTACGGTGTTGGGCAAAAAAATAATTAGCCGATATATTAACATACAAAAAAAAGTTTATTCAATTAAAAATTAGCAAATGAAAGTAGTCATTTGAAAAATATATACAGGGCGTTTAAAAATACCTGTGGTTCAAGTTCAAAAAATTAACTAGGTATATATAAAACTAATTCTAATAATTGTTTCAAAACCTTGTTATTGGATAAATTGGGAACACTGAATTTTTGTACTAATGCCGAGTCAATGAAGAACGATTTTGGTCCTATGCGAACCCAGATTAAAAAATAAAATTAAATTAATTTCTTTACCAACCTTATATAAATTCCCAAAAAGGGCGTATCAGGTGTAAAATTGTCTGTACGATCCAAAGATGCAAAAATGTACAAGGTGATGTGACCATACCGGAATCGAGTATTCGGTTTTTACTTAAATCACCCACGGTTTACAAGCTGTCCCACGAACCACGATGAATGCCGGGCTATCTACATCTCGAAAAAATCGATAAGATCTAAGATATTTTCAAGTTGGTCACACTTCCGGTTATACCCCAAGGTACCTATACGCGAATTAACTACAATTATTAATTTAATTAATAAAGGGTATATTTCGTTTTTGTCAGACTATAAGAAAGACCCGGGATTAGGGACAGAACGAAAATAAATAGCGGGTTATATATATATATATATATATATATATATATACGATACTTTTAAGTGGACGATTTATTGGTGTTAATTGCACCTGCACAAACAAGACTAATTAGGGTCTAGCGGTTATTCCTTTTGAATTGCGGTACACTATGAGACCACCAGTTCCGTAATTTTACATTTGGATGTCACTTAATTCACATACAGGGTGTCTCATTTGTCTCGAGACAGTCGATCATTGTGGAAACTATCCGGAATATTAAAAAGTGATTTATATAAGTCTTCTAATACCGGAAAATAATAAAGTTTTGTGGGAAACGTTTTTTCTCTACACTTCCAAAAGCGCGATTTTTGGTTTGAGTTGGGACGCTGTTCTGTCAAGAATTTGGCACATTTTTTTATTTTTAGATGGTATATATAATTCTATATATATTTCGTGTATAATGTCCTATACCTAAATTTATTATTATTATTATTAAAGTCGTTTTGGACATATTTTAGTTTTTAGTTAAAAAATAACCTAAACAATTGTCAATGTTTTCTGTACGCGAGCTGTTATTCTCTGTTGATATTTTGACTATAAATAAATACAGAGAATGCAAATATGTACGGTTTTAAAAATTAATTTTCATAATGTTCCTCCTTTTGACCTTTTCGAGATATAGATAGACGGCAATCGTTGTAGGACACCTTCGTACCTAGCTATTTATTGGTTCATAGTTCAAAGTTTCCTACCTCATTTTAAAAAAAAATGATTCACGCAGATAAATCGAAGCAGGTGCAAGTAATCCGCACATAGGGTAGAATGGTGGATGCAAACAACGTACAATACTAAAAAAATCGAAAAATACACCGTAAAGTTTATTGAATACATTATACTTTACACATAAGTCTGCGATCAAAAGAATAATAATGTACAATCAAAACTTCGTTACGCTATTTATTCATTGCGTCAATACTAAAACAATAGCTAAATAACACAAACTTTATTAAAGTACGATTTTACTAAGCTATAATCCAGCACTATTCACAAACAGCACTAGCCACAAAACGCCCCCAATTAAAAATGTCTAAGATCATATGGAGACATTTGTAAAATTTAAGACCAATGAATGCGCCGTGTTGCACTTCCGTTCAACACCCCTTAAAAATGTCACATTAAACTATTTGCATACGTTCTACCTTAAAGTTAAACAGCTACATCTACAACAAATAATAGCAAAGTATAATACGAAATGAGAACTGTAAGTTAAATAATTTACAGCTACAGCTTTTATAAAGGTGTAGGTAATTTAATAATTATGGTAAAGTAAGAATAAGGTTATTACGATTACAAAATCTAAAGCGAAAGATAAATTGATGGCTTTGGTTGGGATTTTAGTTCAGACAGGGTTGGGGTAGGCTGACTGTGCCCTTAGACTTGGTATTGATCTTTATTCTGACCCGTCTGAGTGCAAGGAGGGCGTATTGTGATCCCCAATAAAAGATATGCGCCACAAATATAATTTGCATCAAATATGCGTAACCCATCGCTGAAAAAATAGCTTACAAGACTAAAAATGATCACTGCGCATAATCCCAACAAAATACGAAAACTAAATTTCATGTTGACTATATTGTACAAATTTATTTATAATCCAAATTACTACATACTAAATGTAACGGAAAATACAGGATATATCATTTTAACAGTAACAATTCACGCATTACCCCACTTTAATATTTCCGTGCGACATACGGATTCGGTAATAAAACGCGTTTATTTGGAGAAACAGGATTGGGGATCGGATTGTTTGGAAAAGTATTAGTATTACGAGGTGGTTCAAAAAACACGGGTCCCCCTTGATTTACACCTCTAATCGGGGCGGGAGGATTAGCATTTCTGTGTTTAAAAAGCCCTTCATCGAAAGGGCGAGATCTGTTCTCAAACATTGGCGTGCTCGGTGCACGAACGGGGTTGTTAAACATGTTATTATTTCCGAACGTTGGTCCACCGCCGACCGGGCGTTTATCGAAACCAAATAGCTGACGACCGAAATTGTCGTTCGTTTGTGAGGCGGGGCGGTTGAATTCGTTATTAGGGCGATACGTTGGTTTTTCGGGCGAAGTATCAGACAATCGCGAGTGATCTTCGCCCGATAACGTATTTCTCATAAGTTGCGCTGGCGTTAAGTGAGCTAAAGATTGGTTTTTCAAATTATCTGGAGCTGGCACTCTAACCCCCATGCGTAAGAGATCGTCTTCCGCAATTTGAGTGCCCACACTTACAGAATTAAGTTCACATTGCACCTCCTTATTAACAAACGTGCGCGATTTACGAACTTCACAAACTTGACACTTAAGATCGGTTTGACACATCTTATTCAACACAGCGCTTTTGGTCGTTGGACCAATTATATCGTGATTAGATTTAAAAGTGGGACTATTGACTGTTTGTCTCGTTGGTTCCGGGACTACGCGCGATGGAGAAGGTGTTGGCGTAACGTGAGGCAGAGTTTCCACGACGCCGACACTCATCAGTAGTTTGCTAATGGTGCTCTGCATCGTTGATTTCTCTTCGCCACTTTTGGACGGCGTGGTAAACGAAAACCGCACTATCGGAATTCTTCTTAATGGAGACATCAGTTTCCCTTCTTGAGGTTTTTCTTGTTCCTTTTGCGCTTTTTTGAGGAAAAATCTACCACTAAGTTGCAATTCATTCCCAAGGATCTTTATAGCGTCTTGACATAACGATATGACTGCAAGTCATTAGGATAATTTAATATTTGGATTTTTAGGTAAGGACAGCTTTTCTCAACTCTGAACATGTTAAAAAACCTTATCTCGCCATAATCTTACAAGCTATTCCATTTGAAAAAATATAATTAATTTTAAAGATAAGATTCTTCCTTAACAATAGAACTGTATAGTACTACCCAAGTATCTATCTTAAAATTAGTATTATATAGTTTATAGTCGACAAGGTTTAACTGACAGGTATTTTGCGCAACCACAAGCTAGCCGTCAGTGAAACAGTAAATAGTAAAACATCTGTAATTCTGTGCTAAAGGAATTACATCGATGCTCGCCTGCTAACGCCATCTTTTATTACATAATGGCTATAGCATATTATGAAGAATAGACCCACCAAGAGAAGACCATATAAATGTTTTCATTAATAAAAACTACTTGCATATAGAAAATAAGCGCTGGCTAAAAATATACATAAAAAATAAAGAAATCGCACATGTAACAAAAAAGATAACACAATATCCTCAACATATCGTATAGTAGAAGACAAAATATATATTTGTTAACAAAAATAAGGTAGAAACTTTGATGAAATTAACATTCAAAAATAAAACAATTTGCATTTAAAAGTAATAAAGCTGGCCAAGGCGTATTTTTCAGAAGTAAGTGGCGATTAATGGCTTTTATCAAAATCAGATACAACACAATATTAACATTTTATAAACCTTTCTCCACAAATAAGATAGTTCTGCACATGCGCAAATGTCTTTCATAGTATGTGTACTTAATACTTATATCCTTTTACAAGGTCCAAGTGCTGAAAAATACTATGCACGAATGTACCCCCATTTAAAATCTTTTAAAGCGATTATAGAGTTTATAGACACACAGTAATCGCTTGCGTAGAGGTTTAAAAAAAAATTCTATTAATATTAATAATAAATGCCTTTATTTTAATAATATCTACATCTGTAATAGATAATTGCGAGGTTCAGCATTGGACGACACTTTCTCCACTTCCACCTAACTACGAAAACACACTACACAAAACGAAAAAGATAACGCGATGTAACAATTACTTATACACACAATATGCGACACAGTAGAACGTATAAAGAAAAGGAATAGTCTGTAAGAATAAATGAAAACTACATATCTGGAAAACAAACGAAGAATGACTTTAACTCATATATAATAGTGATTCATTAATGTTTGCTTGAATACCCTCTTAAAAGGATTTAAGTGAAGCGATTTAAGGGAAGACGATTATAAACAAAAGCAATCTGATAACTGAACGATCTTTTACAAAGGGCCGTTCTATGTTTAATAATTTACAGGTTTTGAAGACCTTTGAAATATGGTAGTTAAACCTTAAAACCTGAATTCTTCACATGCGGAAGAACCAAATACGATTGATCATGATTTGTTAGGATTAACAAAGGGTGAGAAAAAATGAATGCATTATGGCCTTCACGAATCTAATCACAAGCTATAAGAACCGGTTTTTCATCAAACGTAAGATGAATAAGCAGATCGGCGTATTTATGATAATTACAAAACTTTAAACAAGAGAAAAGTCGGGAGAAATATACAGGGTGAGTTTCTGCATTTTCACTACGAGGATCTCGTATACCGTACGAGATACAAAGTCGCTTTACTGGGCAACGTTATGCAGAATTATATGCTGGGTCTGTTTTCCCCTTCCAAGTTTCTTGTAGCTTTAAAAATAGCGAAGTTATGGCCCGAAAATGAAAAAAAAGACGCATTTTCCATGAATTGATCAGTGCTTCCCGATAGGTCATGTAAGACTATTTGGGAAAATAAGGTAAGGCATAAATATTCTTATACAAAAGAAAGTTGACATTGGGCAATTTGCGCATGTGTACATATGATTTTTACAATATGCTTGCTTTTATTAGAAAACATCTGTGGTTAAAATTTCAAACAAATATCTCTATAAGTACGGAAGTCTTGCATGCGCACATTAATGGCCAAGATTTTTCTTGGTTGAGAGAGAGGCCAGAGCTATAAGCTACAGAATGCAAAAAGAACGAAGTAAATATCTTGAAAACTGTACTTAAGGCTTCGGACGGAGGGATGGAGAAAATCACCCCTTCCAACATGAGTTGAAAAATGCGCTAAAATATCGAAAAATGTCAGTTTCGAGAATACGATATGAGATATGAGAAATTTGAACCGAACTTGAAAAGGGGATCGGGAAGAGGGCTTTAGATGGTAGAAATCATTTTTCTGTTGGGACCTTTCATTAAAATACCATATAGGATTCCCCCTCCTCCCTCCGATTTCACAAATGTCACCCAACACCCCTTTTACTTTATTGTTACTAAAAACCATGTATTTGACTTTTCTCTCAAAGAAATTGAGTGCTAAATAAAAAATTTCAATATGGCGGCAAGATCGTAATCGAAAATAGAGAAATAAATTATTAGATGATCTGATATGAATGCAAGATTGGCTGTCCCATATAACTGTTATGCACATTTTACTTCTCAAAGGATCATCTCAGGAAATAATGCATGCCTCCGTTCACCTTAAAAAAAAAGAAGTTGATGAGCGTTTAGCTCACCTTCAAGGTATAGGCCAGATATTGCATAAATTTTCAAGACTAGGAGAATTCCGCTAAAAGTAGTTAAAAAACGCGAACGTAGGTGCGGACGGAGTGGCAAACAATAGCCATTTACTTTCAATAAGGCGCATCAGCATATGTGCCCGCATACTTAACAGAGACAGAGATATATTTTGCACCGTAAGTAGAACACCGCACATGACCAATAACATTTTAACACACAAGACTACCAAGCATTTAAAATGTGTCCAATGTGACTATGCAACCAATGATGAATCTAACTATAAAATACATTTAGTAATATACAAGCAGAGTTGGACTGGGTCAAGCATAGAGTGACCCAGTGACCCAGTTAGATTACTGACCCAGTGACCCGGTGATCCAGTTGACCCGGTGACCCAGCTTGACCCGGTGACCCAGTTTGACCCGGTGACCCAGCTGGACCCATCTTTACTCAGTGACCCATCTTGACCCGGTGCCCCAGTAATTAAATTATTGTTAGGTATCATCCAAAACAATTTCAAGTAACTTTTAATTTAAAAAAAAACTTCCTCAATAATATTCGCCAACAAGCACGTAGCCCAATTTCATTCAAGAGAACTAATACCTAAAAAAATCAAATGCATTTGTTTATAGTTTGTAGTCAAGTAGCCAATGAAAGTATTTAGAGAAAAGATTTATTTGGATCAAGCTAACTAGTAGAAGAAAATTAAATGTGAATGAACACCTGTAAGCAAACTGGTAAGCCCTGAAACAAAGAAATGACGGAGGGAACTGTTTAGAAATAACATTATTCTAATACAATTCGGGACATGGACAGTTTTTTACGGCAGTATTAAAGCAAACATCACAGAAATGGCAGTTGTCAAGCAATCGAGTATTATTTTCAACAAACCAGCATTTCATTTATTTCATAATCTGTGCACTTGAACCGAGGGCACTGACTTAATTGCGTTGTTCGATCAAACTAGGTTACTGGGTCGAATTGGGTCCTCGGGTGAAATTGGGTCGCTGGGTCACTGGGTCAAACTGGGTCATTAGGTCAAACTGAAAAGAGTATGACGTGACCCAGCGACCCAGTTTAATTCAGTGACCCAGGTGACCCAGTTGACCCGGTGACCCAGTCCAACTCTGTATACAAGGTCATCAACGATTTAAGGTAAGCCTAATGCGATTTCGTTACCAAACATAAATCCAGTCCTAATGCACATCTTAACATCTAATATTTGTTAAGATATGAACCTACCAAGGATTTAAAATGTGACCGATGTGATGTCACAAAGAAAAAATCTAATTTTAAAACACATTTGTTAACAAACATTTTGCTACAAAAAAATAGTACTCAATTTTTGGAGTGCCTACTTCTCATAGCTAGGTTCTATTTGCGGCACAAGAATCAGAGACCACGATTTCACCTCTAGGAAACTTTTGGGCGTCTAAAGTCGACTACCCCTCGAAGACGCGCGCGTTGCAAAAGGTAGTTAATTTCACCCCTAAAAAAAAAACAAAATGGCGTCACGCAGGAGTTGTGCGCGTTAATAAGATCTTTCAGATAACACCAATTTGAAAAGAATCGGAACCAAAACTGTAAAAGATAGGAAAAAAACTGAAAAATCACCATGTTAATATAACACGCTCGGGGATGGCGCCCAGATGTCGCCGACCCCACTGTAGCCTCGTCTCTAAAGTTGTTAATTATACGGCCCTGGTAGGTGTGTATATGTAAACTCCTCATATTTCTAAAAGCGTTCTTCTACGGCCCCGCATTTGCTGCCAGCCAGTCAGCTGACCAAATTCAGATTTAAAAGCTTCGTTTTTACAAGTAAATTTGTCAAAAATGCGCTAAAAAGGACGATTAATGGGCGGTTTCACAAACGATGATTAAGGTTAATCACTGATTAAAAATATTAAAATGAGAAACATCTGAGCTTATAATCAAAGGTGGCTAAACATACTAATATTTTTAACCACTGATTACACTTAATCATCGTTTGTGAAACAGGGCATTAAACTCACAATGCTCTTAAACTAAATGTTTTAATTAAAGGTTCTAAAACGCTCGTGGAAACCTGTGGATACTATTAAAGACTAATGGACTAATCTGTTTTACGCACATAAGGCTCATGAAGACAGTTCTTAAAGGGCCAGCTCTCAACGTGCGGGGAAAAGCTTGAAGGTTATTCAGGATTTGTAAAGACTCAACAGATTTTGAAGGGAATTAAAGGCTCTATAAGTGTTGGAGACACCTTTGGAGACTGATATAAATTTTAAAGATTTATAAAGACTCCAAACCTTTTAACAGCTTCTGGGCAAGCTCTGAAGGGTTTAGAAGGTGCTCACAATTATTTAAGCGTTTTAAATACTCTTAAAGCCACAGAGACTATCTCAAGATAGGTCTCGAAAAGGTTCCAATAAATGACTGTTGGGGACTAATAAGGCTAAATGCCTCTAGAAGGCTTTTGGATATAGGTATTTGGAAGCTCTTTAAGCTTTGCGTACGCTTACATGCCATCAGACTCTAGGAAAGACTTCCAAAAACACTACAAGAGCTTTAAGAAAGTTCTTAGAGGCTCTCAGATCACATTTTTAAAAATCACGCTTGGCATCACATCATAGCATTTGCCGCAGCTTTCAGGAGTTTTCATTTGATAGCTCTGGTATCTGAATAACAAAAGCGATTACGTAATTCTAAATGTAAATGTCCAAAGTGTTATTATTGATAGACTTCAACAAAATTATTGAACAGAAAGAAAAAAATCCTTTAACCGGCGTTTTCACCAACAAGCAGTTTAAACTACTAAGTACATTTAAACACATTATAAATATTCATATAAAATAATATATACACAAATTAACAATTACTTAAACTATTAATTATAACTAGAATTAAACTTGAGACATTAAATATTTCATCCACAGTACAAAAACCCACCCGTGTAAAAATAGAGAAAAGAACACACATTCTTATATAAAATTGGCGTTTATATTGATAAGATTCATAAACATAATTCAGAAGCCGAGAAGAGCTGTCCATAAAGATGTACGAAGTGTAACACATATGCCGATAAAATTGATTAACATATCAAGATAGAGAAAAAAATATCAAAAAGAAACTTACCCTTTATCTTCTTTTGCACATTGACTGGTTCTGTAGAATCTAAATAGGAAATATGATAAATTTGTATAAATAACATTAGAATAGGTTTACCTGCGTGCTTTGCAGACATACTTAAAAAGTCAGACAAACTTATCTTCTTGTCTTCGAATAGCTAAAACAAAAAAATTAACGAACGTGAAAACGTTAACAATAAAATACGCATTACTTTATGGATGGCTTCCTTTTCCTTTTGCACGTTGACATTTATATTGTTGGACGTATCGAAGGTGGTATTATTAAAATTGTTTGCGGGAATCTGAGAAGTCGATCGTTCGACTTGCATAGATGGGGCAACAGGCTGTGAAATCATATGATTACCTACAGCGGGCGGCATGCCTTGAAGTGGATGAGGATAATGCATGGGATTTAGGGGAAATTGCTGACCAATAAAGAAATGGTGGTCATACTGAGCAGCAGGGTCCATGTGTTGAGGAAAGTATGGAGCAGGCGCTCGTATTGGCGCTGGGACTGGTCCTGGAGGCGGGACAGGTGGAACTGGGTGATAAGTGTGTGGGGGTTGCTGTTTTGGAGGTTGAGCAATTATTTCTTTCACTTTGTTGTAGTACTTCTTTTTCTCCGACTTAGCCAATTTTGTGGCCAATTCCTCTAGAAAATCTCTTGTGTTGCTACTCGAACGCTTAGACCAGGATGTGTGTTTTTCTCGATTTCTATTGGATGAAGGTTCCGGACTTAACTCAAAGCTGAGACTTCTCGATCGTCGTCTGTATCTGTCGGCCGAATAGTCTCTTCTACTTCTACGTTCCAAACTTCGCCTTCGTTTCGACAGGGGAGATCTAGAATACCTCAGGGGTGACCTGGATTTACGCCAATGTGGGCTTCTCGTATATTGATAAGTACGCTTAGAGCCATACAGTCTTGAGGTTCTATCTACACGCTTCTGGGGTGAATCTGATCTTTGCTTCTCACGATTGGCGGCTTTAGATTTAGACTCTGCCTTCGGATCAACAGGTTTAAGATCATTTAAATCGACCTCCAATTCGGTACCTGGAGCAGGGTTGAGATGATTCAAATGAGTGGTTTAAATCAAGGGATTTTTATTTAAAAAATCGCCAGATTTACTTATATAAGGTACTAACACTATTGCCAAAATTAAAATTTCTTAATCAAACATAACATAAAATAGTGAATGGGTTATCCCAGTTAGAGACCGTGCAGATGGTTTTGTTGGTTTGTATCAACCGATCTGAATGACTCGCTCTTGGAGAAAGTTTTTTACATGTAAGTAGGTTATATATAATTTAATTTCTACAATGCAAAGGGTTAAGTGGAAGAGCAGGGCTAATGGATTTCCCGTTAGCATCTGAACTTCGCCCTTTTAAATTGCGCACTTGTACATTTTATTATTAAGATATTCTTGTTACCTTATATGATTAGCGTGATTTAATAAACGACATGATTATTATTATTATTATTATTAACATTTGGTCAGTCTAGACGATCTAGATCTAGAAGAATTTACTGCACATCAATACCGCCCATAATAATGACTATGTCAAAAGACATCTCTACAGACTTTAAAAGACCCAAGGAATGGAGGTTTCTAGAAAATATCTTTCTAATGATCTAAGAAGTCCCAAAAAGAGTTTAGTAGTGTATGAAATCCAAAAAATTTTTTTAAGATGCATGAATGTCCGGTTTTCTGTGTCAGTAAATATTCCTTAAACCTCAGGCAACTATGAAGATAAATAAAAAAAACAAATTGCGCATGCGCAACCCTTCTTTTGTGTTTGCGCAATCCCAATTTGTTTATTTGTTAAGATATTTAAAAGAAATTTTGTATGTAGGCACTTCAAATAAAAGTAAAACAAACGCCGATTCAAAAAATCATTTCCAAATGTCTATAATGACTCCTGTAATCACTAACAGATTGACATTAATCAAAAGTTTTATATAACAATTGAAATTTTATATTAAAATACGATTTCAGGTAAAATTTAATACAAAACTTGTCAGTAAAATGACATTACCTGACTCGGACGTTAAAGTACTCGGCGGGGCCTCGCACTTCAATGTTTCCTCGCCAGTAATGTATCATTTCCCCGACTTGTGTAAATAACTATTACAATAACTTATCACAATGTGGCACGAATAAATTTAAACTAAATCTACGCTGATGATTTCTTATTCTTATTGCACGTAGATCCCCATTAGCCAAAATATGTTAATTATGATAATTGAAAATCCAAGTGATACATGAAATAACAGCAGAAATGTTATAATGCTATTCAACATTGTCCAAACATGTGCAGAAACATGTAAACAGTAAGTGGTGGATACTATTACAGATTAAATTTATTCATGCCACAATTTCGTTTTATTATTAGTTATTAAAATAAAAATTAATTTTCATTTCTTTTCCAAGCTCTTGTGTGATCGCAGGGATTTCTATTCAGTTTTTCAAATTTAATTTTCTAAAAGGGTTCCATCACCAAAAAAACTCTTCTATGGTTTCCGAGATCCCCATCATAGACATTCTTATCTTGGACACAGTGTACATTACACCACACGGCTAAAGTCATAACTCATAAATACAACTTAAAAATAAACCCAAGAGCAAATCAAATTTCTTTTCGCTTTCTTTTGTTTTTTCGAATATTCACAAAATAACATTTCTATCGCATTTCTACAAAGGTTAAGAAAATTACTGGAAAACTACCCAACCATATACTGATAAAAAACCGACATATAATGCGAAAATACAGGGTCCTGCAAAAGTGCGCCTGTCTTTCGTAGCTCATACCTGGGAAAAAATATCAAAAAACCTTTTGTGGAAACGTCAACTATAGAACGTTTCGCATCTACAGAAATTACTTTTGCGTGTACAGGGTGTCCCATTTTTACGGTGTCAATACACAGCGGATTTTTTTAAATAGAACACCCTGTATATTTTCAGTTAATTCGATGTCATTTTTTAACACGTTTTTTAACCTCTGCATGAAAATCTATTCACTATTTGGTTTTTTCCCAATGCTACCAAATTAAATTATTAATTTTCATATTTCAAAGTGCAAACTTTTTTTTAATGGAACTATCACTATTTTATTTCTCTATTCGATAGTCTTTTTTGTGCTCTTCAATTTATATAAGGGATGTCCTGTGCAAAAACCCCGTAGTTTTTAAGTTATTCAATAATTTTCACCAAAATAATTACACATTAATTATTAACATGCTCATAAAAAGGAGTAGGCGAAGATAATAAAAAACCAAAGAATGCCAGACAGCAAACAAGTGCCATAAATTTATGATTTGCTGCCAGTGTACTCCCTCGTGTACTCCTTATTTCATAGTAAAAGAATATTATTTAAAAAAAGTATAAATTGTGAAGCGCATTTTTTTAACCGAAATAGCTTTTGTTTTGACATCACCAATGGATATATTTCTTGCAGACGTCTCAATCGCCCTTTGTGAGTATCCTCTTCCGACAATCCATTCTTGAGGTATAAGGGAATATACCCGATTACGATAAGAGGTCAAGGAGGAGGGCTGTGGTTGTGTGGTTGGTAGAAATCAATTCCTTTCGTTGAGACCTTTCATTGGAGTACCACTAGTTCCACTCCCCTCCACCCTGTACTTTGATAAGAGGACAGAAAGAGGGCAGTAGTTGGTAGAAAACGGTTCCTTTCGTTGAGACCTTTAATTAGAATACAGTGAGAGATAACATTAAATTTTAACCCCCCCCCCCCCCCGTTGCTCACTGATCTCGAAAAAGAGTCGCACGGGAAAGTTTAGTTTGTAGCAAACCAATTTATTTCGATGAGACCTTTCATTAGAATACCATGACGGGTAGGAACATGTGTTTACCCCCCCCCCCCCCATTTCCTAAAGTTTAACTTAAGACCGGACAAAACGCAAACAATACCACATTTTTTTAATTCTTAAAAAATGCGCTAGACTAGTTAATTTTTTTCTAAATTCACCTTTTTAGTTACCTCGTTTTATATTACTAAGAAATAGGGAGTACACTTACAGTAGATAGTTTATTTGTGACACTTGCTTACTTTTTGGCATTCTTTTGTTTTTTATTATCATGGTTTATAAACATGTAATTGATTAATGCGTTTTTTGTAATCCCTCCCCCTACCATCCGAATTACTATTTTTTCTTTTGCTTTTGTCTTGAATATATGTGCTGGTTTTTTTTTGATAATAGTAATTCAAGTGTGTGTGTGGGGGGGGGGGGTCAAGTTAATGGAGCACAATGGCTGGTTTAAGATTTTATGCTTTTAAACAAATTTGAGAAACTTCCACAATAATGTATAGCCCCTCTCCGTAAGTTTAGATTTACGCTTCCTCATTTTCTGTAAAATTGGGGAAGAATTTTTTATTATACTGTGGAAAGACTACAGAATTTACACGAAGAGGCCAAACTCGGGTCAACATAAAGCTAAGTTCTAAATTTTTTTAGGCTGTGAATTTAAATTTAAATGTTAAACCTCAAATTCAGAGTCTTAACTACATCTACATGTGGTTGTTCCAAGCCTTCGTAAATTTAGCCGATTTAAAACAAAATACTAACCTGGAGGAACCAAACCTGTTTCCACAACTTTCAGCTTTTCTGAAATGGATTTCTCCTCCTCTTTTTTGGCACATGTATCTTTATCCTTCTGAATGTCTCGTTTAGTTTTCGCCGGGTCTCTTCTATGATCAACGTTCGACTCGTCACAGTCGGAATCCTTTTCGCCTTTGCCCGTATACCTTTCCCTTGATCGTTTATCTCTGGACCGGCGCTCTCTAGACCTTCCCCTTCGCCTGTACTCCTCCCTGTATCTTCTGCTACGAAATATAGAACCACTTCGCGACCTGCGCCGCCTAGAACGCGAATCTCTCCTTCGAGACCTGCTTCTACTTTTGCTTCTCGATTTCTTCGTCCTACCTTCTTTCTTCTCGCATTCGTCATCCCAAATATCGACGACGTCCAGGCCGTCCATAAAATCGTTATTCAAGAAGTCATCGAAGAAGTCCGAGGGTACATCTTCGTCCTCGACAAAATCACTTTTCTTAGGGGTGCTTTTGTTCTTTTCATTTGGGGGCGACGAATTCGTTTTTTTCACGGCGCTCTCATCGTCACTATCCGATTGAACCAAATTTATTATACCTTCTTCAGTTGTCATGGTCATAACCTTTTTAAAATCAAAATAGAAATAAAAAATAAGTTAACAAAGAATTAATTAATTAACATTACAAAATGTAATTATAGCCACTATGATTACTAATACTAATTCAAACACATCATATGAACATTCGTAAATTAGTAGTAATTTTAAGAATAGAATATTTTTCAATTTGTGAAATACACAACACAAATGACAACCATGATTAGTGATCACCTGACCAAAAAGCGGTTGCGCTTGCGCAGAGTTGTGCACGCAAAGCGGCAAACATCAAGCTTGTGGTTGCATTCGAAATTTCGATGAATCGACTATTCACTTTCACCATCCTGGAAATCTTTTGAACTGCCATATTTTTTTATAGGGAATCCTTGAGCCTAACCGTCAGTCTACCTTTCCTTGTTCCTTCAGAAATTTTATTATTGTTATCGGCTTATGAATTTAGAGTGTTGATATGTCTAGGTAGGTACCATACATTACTACATATTATAAAGCATCACCAAATGAAATAAGAAATTGATCAAAGTCCTCGTGTGAGATCGATAGGACTTTAGCAGTGCATTTTTGTGTGGCAGATCAGTATTCCATTAGCCAGTTTTGACTCTACCATCAAATCAATAAGATCTTGTTGAAGGCTACCATATTCCCTTTATCGGTAGCCGCTTCCGACATCCCGTGCACACGTAATTCGCGTTTGAACTTTTGAAGTTTTGACTCCACCATCAGTAAGATCTCGTCGGGGGTTACCATATTCCCCTTTGTCGGTAACCACCTCCGACGTCCTACTCACCCGCAATTCGGGTTTAAAGTTTTGACTCCACCATCAGTAAGATCTGATCGGGGGCTACCACATATATACCCTTTGCCACTACCCAGTTCCGACGTCCAGTTCACTCGTAATTCGCATTTTGGTGGATTTCGATAAAACCTCGCCACAAAATAGTACTCAATTTTTGGGCACTTCTCATAGCTTGGCGACCCGAGAAAGAGAGACCACGATTAGAGCTCTAAGAATCTTTAGGGCGCCTTGCAAAAGGTGGCTAATTTCGCCCCTAGGAAAAAAAAATTCCGCCACGCCAAAACTGTAGAAGATGAAGAAGACAGGAAAAAACTGAAAAATCTTTAGGTTAGTATTACACGCTCGAGGATAGCGCCCCCCCCCCCATCATGTAACCTCGTCCCTAACTTTGGAGAACCTTAAATATGTTTGTGCAGGAAGATCCAGCGGCCCGTTCACTTAACTATACCCATTAGCCCAAAAATAATTGACCAATTTCTGTGCTCTGTTGTGCATCTTTACTGAAGCTCCCAAATCAGCAGATGCTGTTTGCTTTATGGAAATTATCCCAGAGCGTTAATGACTATTATGCAATCAAAAATGAGTTGCTGTTCAGCCACCTTTGGAATTTTTGTTGGAAATCGTACTTAACTTGAACTTTCAAAGGCGACTAGACCGCCAATAATTTTTGATCGCCCATGACTCCTGAGTTATGGGATTTGAATAACATTTCAAATGGAACGATTGTTTCCAAAGCCTTCCACGCCTAATAACGCCACTCAAAAAATTCCTTAGACTTTAAAGATTAGCGAATCGCAATCAAAGAGCACTCACTTATCTCGAATGGTACCGTTTAAGATATATGAATTTTGGAATGGACCTTTGCATCTCCAAATGTTTAGAGAAAAATTGACGTATGTCAAAAACCGTGTTAGCAAATCTTAAATGCGTTGAATTCGGAATAAAATGGCGCATTTACAAAAAAATAGAAAATGGTATGTTTCTATTTTTTATAAAACCGCAATGGCGATAACTTCCGGTATTTACGGAAGGAGTGCCATTAAAAAAATATGCCCCCTTGACCATGCAAAGGTACACCACAAATCACAAATTAGATTGATAGCAAACTTTTTATAATTATGATTTAACATTCCATCTCTGATAAGAGTGCGCGTAATTTAAATTCTCATAGCAGCCTACAGGGATATATTATTGCCTTTCCTGTTAAATGTAATTAATTGGATCTATGTAAATAAGTAATTTGACTGGGTTATGGCAGAGATCCTTTAAATTATAATATACAGGGTGATTCCTATAGTACCTGCCACCGTTTGGGAGCGTATAGGGGGTGCCTAGGGGAGTATTTTGATATAGGACACTTGGGGTCGGAAATCTAAAATAAGGGCGCCAGAACCAAATTATCTTCTGGAATTTCACGCCTGTATGTAGGCAACCCAACCGACCGACGTTTCGCGCGGAGCGATGCAGAGCGAGTTAGCGCGAGGAAGCGACATGGGAGGGAAGGAGGGAAGACGACAGTCAAAAGTAATAACGTTTACAAGTGTTCAACGTGGCCACCGTTGTTCTCAATGCACTTCCTACATCTAGCCAACTATTATTATACTATTGCCATAGTGTTTATTCACTTGATACGCGTCGTTGCAGACGGGATTTCGTGGGTTTAAACAAAATTCTGATCAAGTGTCAGCCACACATCGCCGCCTGAGATCGCTCCGTGTGCACCGCCGGCCGGTTGGGTTGCCTACCTACAGGCGCGAAATTCCAGAAGGTAAATTTGGCTCTGGCACCCTTATTTTAGATTTCCGACCCCAAGTGTCCTATATCAAAATACTCCCCTACGCACCACCTACACGCTCCCAAACGGTGGCAGGTACTATAGGAATCACCCTGTATATAATTTTCTGGCGGTTTGTACTTGGGCGATAAACTACCTGGATAGTTCACAAACCAACCAACAGTTGTAGCTATTTTAGCGAAACGATAATTTTCCATCAAAATAGCCATACGTTTGGATAGTTTACTAGCTAGTGTATAAACTAAAGTGAACACTTTATCCGTAACATATAAAACACTGGTTCTACAACTGAGCTAATCAGATGTTTGATGAATTTTCGGTGTTACCTTCAGATTAGAATTCAGAATCTCAATAATCATTTAAGATGAACATTATAACAAATCGTGGTAAAATCATTATTTAGATACACTTAATTTAACACACATGGTCATATAAAATGATCTGTTAGCTCAAGTGGCCTTTAGATATGATGCGAATTTAATAAACGTGGCCTATGCGTTTATCATCACTATAAGGTTATAAAATTGTAAATTGCATGTTCAATCACCTATAATGGCTATATTGAGGTAGGTACTATTATAGGAAGTTGGCGTTTTAGTACAGTGAATATTGAAGTAAATTATAAGGTATTAAAAGTAATGGGAAGCTATTATTGTATACGTTATAAAATAGGAGACGTAGATTATGAATTCAAACATCCAAGGGGAGCAATATTTAGTAATATTGCACTAAATCTGGGTCGGTCACAGCAACACTGTGCAACATTTCCATTTTTATCTGATGATCCAATGACGATTTAGCGTTCTAACAACAATTTTGACATCGTTTAGTTCACACTGAACTTGCTCAAGGACTACAGAGGGTTCCAATGTATAGTTCCTTTAAGAAAAAAAAGGCTGTTAGATCCATACTTATGTCTTTTGTATTATGCGTCCATTTCCTTATGGAAACAAGGAATTGTTAAATAAATTTTACCGTATAATTTATGACAAGCTCGCATTTGCTAGGAAAATTGTAATCTCAGTCCCACACTACGTTTGTCTGCATATCGATTTATTACAACGTGTTGTTTGTCACCGTTAAAGAAAAGTGAACAGAGTCATTATGCATATATTCGTCATCAATATCCATCCATAAATCCCGTTTTATAGAAAGCTATAAAGTCGAATCCATCATCGACCATAACAGAATATTCGTGAAAGTGACACTTACACGGAATCATTGTGAATGAAAAATGCTACTGTGACGATTAAAAAAATATCTACCTTGCCATAAAGTGGTAAAATTGAAAAATGAAACGTTCTATTTTGGAGCATTGGGCACTAATAATACCTATTTTTAGTTTGTAATTCGAAGACTAAGTAACTATGTAGTAGCGTTTGTCTCTTGTAACGGTTAGTTACATAATTTTGAATTAATTGTTTTAAAATTTATGAAATAATGAGTTACACCGACTAGCTTTAATCGAATGGGAACTTTTAACAATTACCTTCCGCTTACTTGTGTTATTACAACTAATTTTTTTCGTATTTCTTTACGAATAAAAGCTACATACATCCAACCTCCCCCAATATAGGGAATATATCACCAATTTTTTATAAAAAAACCAAAAATTTCAGTATATTTATTCCCAAAATAAATTTTATAACTGGTTTGAAGGACTTCACGCCCCCGATACTAAACACCTCTTTTATAAACTCAGCGTGTTGTATTTATGTTAGAGTAGGCATCTGTCATGAGAGTTTTTTGAAATGTAATTGTTATTATAAAATGTGTTCTAAGCATTTCTTGTAATTATTCGTAACAAGATACAACATGGCGCAGTCGGGGCAGTTAGTTTATTAAACTGAGCAAAGTTTTCAAGAAGTATAGGTTCCGAAACATCAAATAAGTGTATTGTTGAACAGCTGAACCTAATTATAAGAAGAAAAACCGAAATGGTGAAAGTGAAAACTGGCGTAAATTTAGAAAAAATTTTGAAATTTACCTGAAAGCTTCCGATAAGTCAACAAAGGACGATGAAACAAAAATAGCCATTCTATTAAATATAATTGGTGAAGATGCTGTTGAAGTATACAACACCTTTACATTGTCTGAAACTGACATAGTGTCATTTCCAGCAGTATTAAAAGCTTTCGATGACCATTGTAGTCCCAAGAAAAATATCGTGTTTGAGCGTTTTAAATTTTATAGTAGAGTGCAGCAAGAAGGAGAAGGGTTTGATCAGTTCTTAACTGATATCAAGAAATTATCGAATGCTTGCGAATTTGGATTATTAAGTGATGAGAAGGTCCGAGACAGAATTGTTTTAGGGATTTATGACAAGGTCATGCAGGAAAGATTGTTACGGGTAGAGGATCTTGATTTGGCAAGGGCTGTGAATTTATGTCGAGCTGCAGAAATTTCAAAATCTCAGGCTAGAAATTTGCAAGGGGCTTCAGTCGAAGTTGAGGTCATTAAGAAAAAGTCAGCAAACCGAAATTATAAGTCTGTTTCCAAAACCAGTGGTGACAGGTTTGAATGTAGAAGATGTCAGACTGTTCATGGCGTTCGTGAATGTCCTGCCTTTGGGAGAAGCTGCAATAAATGTGGACAGTTAAATCATTTTGCAGTTTCCTG